ATCATGATCTACCTGGTAGCTGTAGTTCGTGTCCATCGTTATGCGATCATTCACAAGACTATGGTTATGCATCAGCTGAAAATAACAACCATAGTAATAGTACCAGCTCACCTGATGGTTCAGATGTGGCGTGCTCTGAAGGATTTTGTAATCACTCAGGTAATTCAGTGATATTTATAGAGCTCATATATTATGATTGGATAATTTATTTTTGCACCATCATAATTAGTTCTAAGTAATTTATAAAATACAATTTGGAATATTTACAAATTAAATTTTTACCTATATCCCACATATTGCAATTGCTTATTTCATAATTTTTAGTTTAAATTAATTAAATTAAAATTGCAGTATCTTAAACAAATAACAAATATATGTTTTTGATTCTTTTTTTTTTACCAACATAAGATTTTCAAAAGTATTATCTAATAATAATAATATTTTTTACTATGCCAGTATAATTTCTGTGTTTGAAATTTAATCAAAATTACATTTAATTGTTTTTTTTTTAATATACAGCATGGGGCAATGGCACTATTAATTTTCAGTTTTATAATTAAATAAAAAAAAATGTTCATTTTTTAAAAATAACTTCCTTATAGTAAGCATCATCTTTTTTTTAAAACTTGAAGTTTTCCATATGAATTTTATATAGTGTATTATTTCCAAAAGTATACTGAAAATTTAGCATAAATGTTGTTTTTTAAATCATCAATATTGAGCATGTTGACGAACAGTCATAAATACCATTTTGTTCTACAGGCATACTTTAAAATATAACTTTTTCATTACTGCTATAGCAGTGTTCACAATTTTTACCCTTTATATTTACTAAAACCTGTCAGAATAAATCCTGTAATTAATTACATTAGGATTTTATTGACATGATAAATAATAAAATAATATATAAAATTAAAAAAATATCTTTACACTCTGATTTTGTGTTCAAAATACAAAAATTATGACAAAAATATTTAATTTATAAAATTCTTCAAAACATTTTCTTGCATGTAATAGGTTGATACAACATTAAAATTGAAGATATGTTTGTCTTCTGCGTTTGATGTTCAGATTTAACAACATAGACTTTTTATAATATTTTTTTCTCTTGTAACCCGTTGAAATTTATATAAGTTCTTGAAAATGAGAATTTCTAGTTTTTTCTTTTATTATTTTTATTTACTATAAAAAGTTTTGGTTAAAAAAATAAATATAATTTGAAGATAGAGAAATCAAATCTTTGGTAAGTGTTTTCCTGAATTTATATATACATAATAAGTGTTCCTGACAGTAATATTTAAAAATTAAGTATAACTTTCTTTACCATTTACATATTTTTCTGGGTGCATAATTATAGTTTACTGTTAACAATTTGGTCAAATCTATCAACTTCGATCATTTTTACATTATATTTTACAATCTTAATAGGTTTTAACTTTTGTCGCTCATATTTATTGGTTAATGTGACAATATTTGTAAATGATATTTAGTAGTGATGTTGTGACATCGTATTTATCTTTTTATTTTAAAATGTAACTTTCATTTTGTCTCCTCCACTCGTGATACCCTTTTTTAATTCCTTTTTTTTTAGTTACCTCTTCAGGATTTCTTTTTTAGTTGCTTCTCAAAGTTCCCATAAAATGTATTTTATTTTTTAATAATAATAATTTAGAAAGTGTAGTAATTATCCATGAAAAATTGCCTTTACTTAAATATGAATCTTTAAGTGAATGGATTAAGCTATTTGTTTTCGAATTTTTTGATTGGAATAAATGATTATTTTTACTATTTTATACTTCAATATTTAAAACGTATCCATTAGAATCACATAACTTAAAAAACTTTATCCCATATTTTGCTTTCTTGCCCTTTATATATTACCTAAAGCTTCTTCCTTGATGTAACAGTAGTGACTCACCAAAGATAAATCTTCCAGGTTAAATGATTTTTGAAAATTTGCTATTAGTATTTTAAATACTGAATTTAATTTGCTTTAAATTGACAGTGCTCAAGTATGTAATATGTTTAATATGGGCAACATAACTTCCTCTTTCATAAAACATTTTTTGAATTATTACAGTAATACTACTTAGGTAGAAGGTTTTTAGAGTACTGTTATAGCAATAAAACTGATCAACTGTCTGTCAACATGTTAAATGTTTATGAGTATATACTTCTCTTTTTAAATATCCTTAAGGCTGTACATCTTTACACTTATATAATTAAAAGTTCATTGATAGAAACCACTTATACTCTTAAATACATTCTTAAATTTTTCTTTTAATATCAGAAAGGTGACAGAAATTATACCCATAAATCTCCCTTTCATGCATACTTGTTTAAAGGGCTATCCAATAAAAAATAGACAAAAGCTAAATTATTAGTATTTAATTTAATTAAAAGTTAGGTTTCATTAAAAATATTATCCCTCACTTCATTCGATCATTATCATTATTATAAAATGACACATAATGTTACAGGTTCCATCAATTAGTTGCCCTCCTATTTTAATACACACATTTCCTCAACGCCACTTCATTAATTTACTTTATATATTAACTTAAAATACTAAAAATGAAAAATGATTTTTGTTCTATAAAAGCTTATATATTTTCCTAAAATCTGATACCATCCTATTTAAATAATAATTATTGAATGTTAGGAATGAAATATTATTTTTACTCAAATTCATAATTTTTTCTGTTCTACAGTATTTCATAAAAATAATTTTTTTTACATGTTTTTGTTTTCAATTCTTTTAAGTAAAACAAGAAGATATTTTTATTTGATTTCTCGCCATCTTTTCGTTTATTATTTTATAATATATTTTTGTATGGCAACCCATGTAACTTTTTTTTTTTACAATTTTTCATTGTAATTCATTTTGACTTAATTGTATAGACTACTTACTCCATTTATGTTATAATGTTAATTCTGTTACAGGAGATGTACCTTCATTAAAAATAAAATGTTATTCTAACACGGGGACATTATCCTGCAAGTCATTGCCACTTCAACAATTGTTAATAGAAGAACTGGTAAGTAAAAAATAAATCAAAATTATATTGATTTGTCTTTATTAATGATTGTATTCTTTTTTTGTTTTTTTAGGAAAAAGATGCTATTGTTGTAGATGATACATTAATACCGTCAGAAGAGGTGGAGATGTATAAAGTCTGTGCAATGTTAGTAAATGAGAAACGTCTAAAACTTAGGGAAACGCTTAAAAATGGTTTCGCTAATTTAAAAGACCCTCAGACCTTATGAGTCATTGTTGGAGTGTCATTCTCACTTCCCTTATTCCAAAACATTTTTAATAAAACCGTTTTAGTTAATTTTTTCATTATACTTATATAATAATATAGAAACATTTTTTCTTTATTTGCATTCATATACACAATATTGCGTTAGTTAATACTTGTGAATAATTTGTTCTGACATTTTTTGATTAGATCAATACAAATTTATTTAAGAATATTTTTTATATTATAAAATTAAATTTATTAGAGGAATATAATAGTTAATTTGATAACCATTATTAAAAAAAAAACTGAAAAAGTATGTCCCAATGTTTTTGTGTTTAAATGTTTTGTTTCCTACTTATAATTAATAAGGTATCATTTGGGTCAGTAGTAAATAAATTTGATTATTATCTCAGCTCATTATATTATAATGTTAAGTTAAATTATTACGTGCCACTGTATAATTATTTGTTTTTAAATTATACATTTTGGTTAAATAGAGGAATTTTGATATGAAAACCTTGATAATTTTTGGATAGAAACCCGATTGAGATATTATAGGGTTGACGGTATTGAAAATAATTTTCGGTATTACGGTATTGATTTCAATACCGGTTTGAAACGGTATACCGAAAAAACTGAAAAGTTTCGGTATACCAAAAAACCGATATGGTACAGTATACTGAAATAATAAATAAAATCTAACTAATATCAATATTTTTTACTTTAATATTGTTTCACAGTATATACTTTATATTATACTATATATAATATTATAATCTGTATTGCCATTGATACTGGAAAACAGCAAGCACTAACATGGCTAAATGAATAGATATTTTATATCTCTATACCATAGCAGATGTTATATCTACTTGTCCAAATTATTATTTTCTGCAAATTTAATATGTTATAATAAAAAAATTTCAATAACTTATTTTAAATTTAATTAATATTGCACTAAATTACTCAAGATATACCGATTCAAAATTCATTTTAATTTTTGATTGCAAAAAAAGATGAACATAGTAAATATTTTAATCCAAGAACAGTTCACTTATTACTAAATCATGGTAAAATAGTATATTGTTATGATTAATAAAAAATGAAACTGTTTCAAGTCTCATCGAAGTTATTTTATAAATAGAAAAATTTCCTCGTTGATACGGTATACTGAAAATACCGTCAGCCCTAAGATATGGTAAACTTAATTCAAATATAAGTGCTCATATTACCTCTGCACGCCATCAATGTCTATATAACCAATTACAGAGTGGATTACCATTACGGATGGTATGTTTAATACCACATTTATTATGTGCAAAAGCTGCCTACTTTATTTAGTCTAATCTATTAATTCACCAAGGTGGTCAAAGTTTTGTAGTTGGTAAGCCTATTTTTTCACGTACTTATAGCATATATACTTTATTTGCGATACAATATATTATCACTGTCTCCTGTTGTAAACATTTGAGTTTACTGTGGAGGCTATAAATACAACACTTACATATGCTACATCTCACTTGCAAATTTTAAAATAATATCCTTGGTTTATAAATAATAGGTCTAAATACTTGTAAAAATTATGAGTCTGATAGTTAAAGTCAAATAAATGAATTACAAAATATTAAGACAAATATCAATCAAATTTCACTTTAATGGAAAAAATATCTAAATGTGTTGTTAATGCACAAATAATCAATGTTTTTAAACAAAGAAAATAAACATAGTTTGTTGTACAAATGAAATAAAACAATATTTTAGTTATACAATATTATGCATTTAATATTCATATTATGACCTACTTTTGGAATTAGAAAATTGGGGATGTATAGGACATACATAGATTAGTAATTTATTCACATAATACGCAAAAAACAAATTAAAATATTTTAAACAATCATATAATTTTTTATACAGTCTGGTACATTGAACTTGTTTACATTTTGTTCTAACAAACATCCTAGCAATACATTAGTGTCTACCATTTTCCCGTTAACAATGTTCAAAAAATTGTTTTTGTCTTTGCCAGACCAGTATATTCTCAAACGTTTGCTAATAAAATCCCCAGATAAAGATAATGAAGCAACGGCAACATAATTTTTACTACTCACAGAGTACAATTCCACTTGAGCTCTTAAACTCTCCCAGTTTTCTAACTTGGAAACAGGTGAATAAACTATACGATAATCTAAACCAATATTTTCATATACTTGTCTATAAACGGTCAGCATTTTGTCAAATTGGTCTTTGGATTCACATTCATCAGTCGAACCAATTAAAACTTCAACAGCATTTGTTTGTACAGCAGAGAAAAGTCCAATGTTTTTGATAAAGGGTTTATACAGTCGACCAGTTGAATACAATTTCAGAGGTAGTTTGTTTCCTCCAACACACGCTTTGGTGAGAAATGCGCAGAATGATTGAAGACTTGCACCACCCATCAAATGCAGGTTTTTTTCACTTAAAATAAATGTTTGATCTGCGTTATCAACATCTGCACCACATCCTTCAATAATTACACTTTTAATGAGATCTGAATTACAAAAGGGTATAAAATCAGACTTTTCTAAAAACTCGTTGAAATAAGTCATTATTGCTTGTTCACAGAGAGACGCTTCATTCTTAATATAAACAATTACATGATTTATATAATCCAAACATTCTAAAACTGAGCCAATTTTTAAATGATCTACACAGTCTTCATTATCAATTTTCATTTTTCCAAAGCGTTGAAATAAAATTTTGTTTTCAGTTAAAGGGCAATCGGGATGTAAGCTATTGGGTATGCTAAGACTAGGAATAACCACTTCCGTTTCTAATATAGAAATATTATCTCTCAAAGATTTTAACTTTGTCATTACTTTTGATCTACTTTCTTTAAGCCTCTGTATCTCATTACTATCATCCTTTTTGATTTTTTTAAATTGCTCAGCAATTTTTTGTTTTTCAACATTTAAATGGACAATTTCGTCTCGCACACTAATGAAACTTGACCAATTATCACATATTTTATCTATATCGATATTTAAACCCCTTAAAGTAATATTATCTTTTAAAATATTTTTATCTTTAAAACGATTCTCCAAATCCAAATATGGTTCAACAATGACATATGTATCAGATGTCTGGTTATACGGAATGTACAGTTTTGATGTACTATAATTTTTAGTTACCTTTAAAAGAGAATTAATAGAAAATAATTTTTTAATCATTGTAAATCTATATTTAATGAACAAATATCAGCAACTTGTTCAGGTTCTTTGTATTCTTCCACATTAATTGGTTGTGTGACAATGACTCTTTCTTTTGGAGCTATATAACTGCCAAAACCAGCCGCTCTTTCAGCCTCTTCAATTGTATATGGTTCAAGTCTAAGTTCTTTAATTCGTTTCTTATGCAATTTTGTACGGAAATGATCTTGTAAGACTTGATCACTTAAAAAATAACGTCTAAAATATTGAATTGATATTAGTTTTATAATAACTAAGACTCAGTATGATTTATCTATTTAGGACATGGTACTTACGCGCAATGTATACAGTAGTGTTGTCCTTCACCAGGTTTATCAAAATCAAGAGCTTGTTTCAACAAACGGTCTGCATTTTCTTTCTTTAAGTCATTATCGACCTGAGATACAAATATGATAATCAGTTCAATAAACACTTATGGAAAATGATTATACATTAAAATTAATAATCATACTTTATATTATAATAATTTAAAGTGTTGGTATTTTATTTATTTTACAAGATAACATATTTTAATAAAAATATGTTATTTAATTAATTCATGAAATCATTAGTTACAATTAAACATAAAATTAAATATTTAGCATTTTAGTGCAATTCTTAACATTTGTCAATGACTAGATCATTAAGAGAAAACCAAAATTGAATTTTTACATTTTTATTGCAAAAACTCATGCAAGTTATTGGTTACCATGTTGCCAACAGTATAAATAATGTATTTAATTTAATATGTAAAATCAAAAGTTAAAACATTTACATATTGAAGAGTGAAATAGTAAAAATATGATAAGAATGGAATTAATTGTTAAAAATTAAAAAAGTATATACCAAAAAGAACCGATAGCATTATAGACTAAAATAATATCTCAACATAGTCTTAGTGGAAGAGGTGAAAATAATATTAATTTAAAAATTTTGTATAGACACAATGAATGTCTGCATTGTGCAGTTTTACACATTTAAATGATTTATACCAGATTATCATTAATCAATAAAATAAACTTATTATGTATAAATGAATGGATTATCCGTACTATAGTGGTGTTATTCATTTAATACAGACCATCTACATTGTGCTCTTCATTTGCACACAATTATTTATTGATATTATATTATAATGGTTTAAAAAAATATCGCCTTTTAAATATTTTCAAATAGCTTTTTTTTTTTATGGTCAATAAAACAAAACAAATAAACCTGTATACATATACTTTTCTTGCAAGCGCGGGCGCATCGGGTACAAAAATCCGAGCAATTAATCGTTCAACCGTAAAAAATCTCGTTTACCTCGTCAATGTCTCTGGCTCTATGTTTGGTCTTGTATTTCCGTTTGTAGAATGTATCGCCTACATGGTGTTTTTTCTTCTTCTGCGGTCCGGTCATCTGCAAGGATAAACGTGTTATCAATCGTAGTTTGGAGATTACGCTCGAGTGGCGTGTTAATAACTGTTAAACAACTTAAAAATTGTATTTGTTGGCGACAATCGACGCAGTCAAAGATTCAACATAAGTAGTTCGTACACCAGAAAACCACTTACATACTTACATTTTCTTTCAACAGGAAGTGACTATTGCTACACACCGTACAGGACTAAACACTTGTAAATAGTTACAGATTTGTTTTTTAATAAATGGCAATGCATGAATGTCACATGGGTACGCACTACGCACATATGACGTGAGTTTTATCACAATGTTTTTCCGAAATTCGAATTTAGATAACCAAGAAATGGAAGAACCTATGGTCCAGTGTTACCGGACGTGCACGAAGTTGGCAATTGGCTCAGACATTGATAAGGAAATCATAACGCCCGTGGTCGATTTGTATGATCAGTTGCCTATAGTATACTCCTTATCAAAATTAAATATTACTGAGACGAGATGCACCATTAAAATTAGGTATTCGGTGACAATGTAGGTACTAGTTTAGTGGAAAAATATTGTTTTACATTTATTTTTATAATTATCATTTATTAGTACTTTTTATCAAACCTTATTGGATGCAGTGATCGTTATCCAAGTTTTTTCTTATTTTATGTATGATTTTCTAAGTATAGAACTAGTTCATCAAAATCAGAGTTAATACTTCTGAATTATGATATTACAGCATAGTAGATTTACTTAGTTATTATTTTTTTGATTTTCCCTACAATGAATTCAAAAAAGATTCAAAATAGGTAGTAATTTTTTTAGCTTTTTATCTATACTACTACTGTATAAAATTGAAAGGGGTTTTCAACGACCGCCCTAACCGAGAAAACTACTGAACCGATTTGGCTGAATTTTTTTTCTGTTATACCTGGTAGTCTGTTGAAGGTTTTAGTAGGTACCACTTTTGTTGATAAAATAAATAAAATAAACCAATAAAGTGGAAATTTTCCTGCATATCCAATATTATTATTAATATTATTGTTTTGTAACAATGGTTACCATTAAAACACATAATTATACGTAATGAAGTTTTAAAAACATCTTAATTTATTTAAAGATATAATCTAACTAATTAAACCATGAATTTATTTACACTGTTTTATAATAAGATTTAATTAACTCAAAAGTTAATACATAATAAAGTTCTTGATAAATTAAAAAACAAAGCTAATATTTGAGGCCTCTCTGCGAGGTCCACAAAAACAGGCCTTTTTTATGTTCCCATTTTGTGACAACACTATTTATCTTTTTTCTATTTTTTTTTCGCAGAGCTATTCCAAATACCCTCCTAAATGTCGCAACATTACCCGATTTTTAATTTGTTTTGTCTGGAGAGGTATATTGTATTTATATGTTCCAATTATCTGACGACAATATTTAACATTTTTCCAATTTTTTTTTTTAAAGGTTATACCAAATACTTAATACCGCTAGAAATATTTTAATATGTTTTCAATACCGTTTTTTATATTTAATTGCCAATCAAAAATTAAACGATAAAATTTGAATAATAAATTCTACATCATCTTCAAAGGCAAAATAAACAACCAATCACAGGCGAAGCCCGTCACGGGTCGGCTATCCTCTTATATTATTTAAACAATTATCAATCTAAAAACAGAAAATAAATACATTTATAAATAATAATTAATAAGCTAAAAATAACATTTTAATGATCTATCATTTTTTCAATGATTATTCGATAAAAAATTTTAATTTTATTTCGAAGCCGATCGACAAACCAATTTTCCATTAACCATTTCAGATTTTAGAAAAAACACTCTGTAAAAAGGAAATTTATTAATTTTTTATTAAATTATCACCACAGCACTACACGTACATACCATACATAGTAATTGTTAACTTTAATTTTTTTTAAATAATTCAAAATACTTTCTAAAATGCATCCTATATTATTCATTTTAATAATATGCTAACAGTCCACCACTTAGGTAAATGAGGTAAAATCGAAATAATACTTGATAAATTTCGCAGAATTAAAATTTGATACGATATTTCATTGAAAATTTTTCGAGCTGCAAGAATATCATTTTGAGGTATCTACCTACATCTATTATGTAAAATTCGTACTTTTATTTTAAATTGTTATTATTTTTAAATAGTTAATAAATATTCATACGTATTAATTTATGTTAATTATATCAGACTATGACTCCAGTACATAATTTAATCATTATAATCTTGTTGCATTCAGAAAGACATTAAAAATTCGACACGCAGTAATAACAATATAGGTACCTAAAAATGCGTTTCACAACAAATGTTCATAAATACCAACGCGGCAGGTGGTAATTTTTCGTTATGGGTACATAAAATGCATAATCGCTCCTGATCATAATTTTAAAAATTTTAAATAATGTTCTTTATTTTCTTGTTTTAACTACAGTGGACTTCTAGTTTGACGAAAAATCGCCACATGGCGCGTTAGTATCGAAGGACATTTATTGTGAAACGCTTTATAGTAGGTACCTACTGGCTACTATCTTCCATGCATTTTACCGTATAATATATTATTATATAATATAACTTAATATTATTGTATCACTTTATTGTTGAGAAATAATGAAACATTAAATCACTATTTTAATTTTAATAATTTAAAAATGTTCAGAGGGTATTTACTAATTTACTACAAACCTTTAGGTTGTACCTAGTCATAATTAAACATAACCTATACCTGTACAATGATGTCGGCACAATTGCGGTCAACACCTTTTTAGTGACCCTTGCCATCACTTTTTTTATACCTGTAAACTGGTTTTACAATACTGACATAATAATAATAATAAAGAAAAACTAATACTGGAGTAAAATCAAATTTTTTTACTTTTATGTTATTTTTATGTACACATTTGTACAATTTACCCACCGTAATTATGTATAATATATACCCACTTAACGTTTATTTTGATACTGTTAAATGTTAATAATATACCTACTTAATACTTATACAAATTATAATTCTGCTATAGTCGGCGACACGAAAACTGGCGGGTAAATACAATGATCCTAACGAATTTTTTGTGTTAGTGGTCATTAAACCATTTGCTACCTTTTTGAAAATATTTCGTATTCATATATACAATTTTTTTTTATTATTTATTAAACATACTTTTTAATATTACATATTTTTCTTATAATATGCTCTTAATATACTAGAAAAAACGTAAAAAAAAATGAGAACCACTGTTTACTGACTGGGTGAGGTGTGAGGTACGACGACGGCCACCTGACAAATTTTATGTCGCCAACCATAGTTTTTACTACCAGATATAATAACCTCAAGGTTAATAATAATAATAATACCCACAATGCTTTATTTATTTGTAAATACATAAAATATATGTTTGGTGAGTATATGTGAAAATAATTATAATCAGTATCAAATTTGGCGGAAGTGAAAGGGAAACACGGAATTGTTTCAAGCCAATGTCCTGGATTTTCTAATTTTTTAAGACTATAGTGAAATTATTGTTAAGGAAAAGTATTTAAAAAAATGAACTCATCTTTTGATTATTAACTATTACAAGGATTATGTTAATTTCTGTCTTTAAACTTGACTGGGACTAAGTTCATGGAATTCATGAATCGTGAAGTTTACAATTCTTCTAATAATATTGATTTTATTCGTGATATGTGGGTCGATCCCGGAGGTACTGCAACTCCGGGCCAACCCGCGGTGGAAAGCATGAAAAATATAATTAAATAATAAATTCAAAAAAAATTTACAGTGTTATGTGGATTACTGTAAAACATATTAATTTGATTAGCGATATTAAAAGATGAATTGTGAGTTATACGACGTTTCTTCTTTATACCAACGCGCATTACGACACGGGTTAGATAACAAACAAGTTGCTCAAAAACTATCGATAGAAAAAGTAAAACACGCAGAGGAGCTATATTGTCTGCAGATGCCGAATAAGAGAGCATAAATATTTAAATTAATTGCTGATTTCGATGTCAATTAGTGATATGTGGGTCGATCCCGGAAGTACTGCAACTCCGGGCCAACCCGCGGTGGAGCAGGAGCAAGCCCCTCATCTCCACCAAAATTTTAAAAATTAGTTTAACATTTGAACCACTTTGTAAGTGGTTTATCAGATGTTAAGCTGATAAGAACAGATACTACACTTTTGATCTTAGCCATTAGGCCGAGAAGCGATACTTGGAAAATTCCACACATGAAAGTATATACTGGATTATATTCGACTGATATGTGGAGGTGCATACAAATCTCTAGTCGTTAATGTCTGATTATTTGCCTTTTTTTAAGATACGCATAAAAATTACAACTTTTTTAATTAGTACGGTACTAATTAATTTTAATAACTATGTTGTAATGTCGTTAACTTTTTTATAGTATATATATATGTCGATCTTCGTGGTACGTACGAAACTGATAGGTTTGTACGCGCTATCTACTGGTTTTATCACGCAACAAACTTAAGTGTGAATACTAAATAACATACACTATGTACAAGCATCGTGCATGTGAGTAGTATGCGTGCCAATGGACAATTTTCAAACTTTTGGTGGTGTGTAAATAAATGAAAAATGAATTAATCAAAATAGTTTTTATCTATGGAATTAATTCACATATAGGCATTTATAATTAATATAATTAAATACAATAATATAATAATCAATGTAATACGTATAACATATTTATTTACCCATTCTCAGTCGTTAAAGTAAAAACTGTCATCCGTTATACTATTCATATTAATATATATTTTATTTTATTTTATATTACAGACAATTTAAAAATATATTAAACACTATTTTTCATAACAAAACACTATTATCTAACGTCTTGGGATGTTATTGATATGGTAATTAATAAACAACAAACATACTATTGTACATAATTATACACTATGTTCAATAATAATTATTAATAAATACAATTTTTATAGCATACAGTCACATTGTACGCTGCACAATAGTGTACCATCAAAACTTAGATTTTTTCCACCATACGCGTTTCGTAGGATTCATATCAAATATCAATTGTACAGAGCTTAAAACCTTTTTAATATATTTTTTCTTTTATTCTAATATCTAGAAATGTTTGCGCAATTTTTAATTCGTTCAATATAAAATGACTTTTAATATTCCGTATACTGACCCCACTTACTAGTCCGGCACTCATAAAATACTTTAGGTTAGGTTAGCAATGGTTATCGGTAAAGCCACTTAGTATATTGTTCAGTGTGTAACGTTGATTAT